CTGGCAATAGGCGATTTCGAAATTTAAACATAAATATGCGAGTATTAAATTGAATCATTTCAAAAATTGGGACTACGTGTGTTTTAACAAAAAGTGGCCGTGATGGGGCTAAATAATCAGATTTAGTAATAATACGCACGGCTCGTTTCTGTAACAAATAAATCTTATCCATATAATAATAATAATAATAATACATATGATTTATAAGGCGCCAAATCCACTTGACAGTCAAATGCTCAAGGCGCAGCTTGCGCAAAAGATGAAATACATACATGATACATTTATACAAAGTGCGATAGGAAAGGTACAGACATGAAAGGTAATGGTAATCAATTATAAGCTAAATTAAACAGATATTTCTGATATGATGCATAAGTATTTCCCCAAATAGTATTACAATAATTTACATGTGGAAAAATCATACTATTATACAACATTAGCAAAATATTTGATAGTAAAACTTGCTTTAGCTTTGACAAAACTCCAATACTTCGAGATAATTTCAACGAAATGCAATCAATATGAGGTTTCCAATTAAGTGTTTCATCAATTATAATACCAAGAAACTGAACACATTCTTTCCTTTTTATAATATTTACATCAATTTGTATAGGCAATCTTTCCCTCCTCCTCTCCACCTCTTTCTCTATATCTTCTGGTGATTTTTTTCAGTACAACATTCTTTAATTATCTGACATTCTTACTGTGACCAATAAAACCTAAATCCTTCCTCATGTGCAATTTGTTTATACATATACTGTACTCGTGTCACACTTGTGATTAGCACACTAACAGGACTCTAATGTTAATACTTATTAATATTTGTAATCTTTATTATAATATCTGTATGGAATTTTGATTGCATTTTATCGCAGTTTTTCCTATGTTACGGTAAAACAATATTAGTTAGATGTAATAAAGTATAAAACTAAATGCATCATTGTGTTTTAGTTTTAATATCGAGGGTAGTACAGAGTAGGAGTCATGTTACGGACACTACAGATCTGTGTTACGGACACTACAGAAGGGATAATATCAAGGCCTGCATGCCAAAAATAGTACCTCCTTTTCTGGATAACAGTTTTCTAAAATAAATTCTAACAATGTAAAAGCTGTCTATGACATCAAATATGTATAATATTAACCTATTAAAAGTATAAGTCACTACTTTGTAGTTTATGTCCTAACACACATAAACACTTGCGCACACACCAGTATATGTACGTCTAGTGTCTCCTGAGGACTGTGGAAAAAAATACCTTCTTTCGAGGACACCCCTTTTGAGGGGATTTACATATAAATTATGAAATATATCATCGTCTACGTTTTTGCTCACAATTTCTCTCGATAAATTAAGCTTATTTAATGGAGAGAGAGAGAGAGACTTGTTTACCGACATTTGTATATATATATATATATCTGAGGATTTTATGAATACTGGTTTAATTGCCACCATCAACAACGATCAAGGAACATCTGAAGATTATCGAATAAACGTATCAGAAATGATTATTGATTATACCATGATTTTGCATATAGATTAATTATCACTTCTTCTTTTTTGTTTAATGCTTTGTTCCTGTTTTTTGGCGTACACTGTCAAAGGTTTTACAAGTATACCACTCAGTTGGTCGAAATACTCTTCATAAAGTACAGAATGTGGTCTTTTTATGACCCCCAAAATAACAACGTTATTTTAATGAGTTCCTAAAAATGGGTTCTAAAAATACTGAATATATCCTGCAGCACATACATGTACGACACGAGGATAACACAGTCATGCAGTGCAATCTTCACCAAACGCACATCCTGCACCACATAATATATACAAGAACTCCATGGGTACTTTCTTTTCCAAACGTATTGTTTTTTGGTCTCACTAAACAAATCTTGTAAGGTCCTATGAGATACATTATTGTATCTTTCAGACTTTCAGAGTTACTTCTCAAAATAATAAAGTACATCGCCTTTTAAAAAATCTAGGGTTTTCATGCTTAATATATGTCTAATAAGAGACACAATTTGATTATGCTATACATGATGTACTGTATTATCCTTTTTTTTTTCCTTCTCTTCTTCCTTCTTTCCTCATGCTTTCCTTCGTTATATCATTATGTCATCTCTCCTTCCTATTTTTGATGTTTTTCTTTTTTTATGTCTTCTTTCATCTTCCTTAAGAGGAGTTAGTTAGTAAAGTTATGCTTCGTTCATGTTCTTATGGCTAAATTAGGCTTCTTTCAATGTTTAAAAGTGAACAAAAAAGATGGAAAAGAAGGAAAAAATACCCCAATTGGGCCACCACTGGAACTACATAAATCAACTTAGGTTTTCTGTTTGTTAGATTTTTTGCTTCTATTGAAAGGGTGGACTTCACTTTAAGTCCTATCCAAGAGACATGGTAATGAGGATTTGAAAAGATACTCTCTGTTTGCCTCAAGATATGTAGTAACATGATGCAATGATGGCAGAAAAAAAAGCAAATGGATTACTTATATATTGCATCAAAGTATAAATGTAGTGTCCGTAACATCCTATAGGATTTTGTACATAAGTTATTTTGGGCAACTTATGATATGAAATGAGCCTTCCTAGCAATTTGATTTGTTTTGATATATATATATGTTTGCTGATGGGAATAAAGTTTGTATTTTGTGTCATTTACCAATGTTTGGTTGGCTTTTTTTTATTTTGTATTTATTCATGTCTTCTTTATAAAAGCAGGGTGGTCCCATTCAAGCCACAAGGCCTGCATTCCAAGGGAGCCCTGCATTCCAAGGGGGCCCTGCTGTAACAAACAAATCACATTTAATATATCTTACAATCCACATACAAATACACAAAATATACACTAAAAACATAATATAAACAAACTATAAAACATTTCATACAAATAGGAAATTAGATGAACATGGAAGAGGAGAGAGAGAGAGAGAGAGGTGGTGGGAGTACTTCATGTGAGCGATCGCAAAATAGAAGTCAATTAACCCACTTGAATTTTACGGACATTTCGTTTAAAAATGGGTAGTGAGGCGGAACATTTGGTAAGTATGGGTAGTGAGTTGAATAACTTTGCTGCTGTGTACGAGAACTCGAGAAGGTCTGTTTTTTTTAATCGGGCCCGGGTTTGGCAAGGTTATTGGTGCATTGAAACTGATCTCGTGGGATACGGGTTAGCACTTTGAGGTAGAGCTTGTTTTAGGTAAACAGGACGAGATTATTCAGGATTTTATACGTAAGTACTTGATAATTGTATTCCAATCTGTGTTTGACGGATTGCAACTTTAAAGAATTTAACATAGATTGTACAGGCGTATAATAATCTAAACAAGAATATTTGATTTTGACATTTCTGTAGTCGCTTTAAATCTTTCATTTTCAGTGATCCCCTAACAGTTGAACAATAATCAATGTGAGGAAGAATTAAAAAAATAGTATAAATGAGTAAATACACGTTTTGTCAAACAGTGCTTAATCCTCCGCATACACATAAGCGAGTTCATAATCCTTTTAACAACATCATTAACATGGGAAGACCAATCTAAGTTCTGATTTACAATAATACCCAGATATTTAAAATTCGTTACATTTTCTATAAGTTTACCCTCCATTTGTATCTGTAATTTGACTGGATTCTTCTTCCTTCGACTTGAAAATAACATAACTTTAGTTTTAAAAAGTTTCAGGTTGTGAAAAAAATGGCATTTATCAGATTTGACCTTGTAATACCTCTGATGTTGTACACTGGATCTAATTTATGGACTGAATCGAGTGTGAATTGTTTTATTTTTCACAAATGGCCAAGAAATTCCCCAAAGAAGTTCAAAATATTCGTGTGTCGAGGTACATATTGCTTGTAGCTTCGTGCAGTGTCCGTAACACCTACCACCCCCTGCTGTATTGCTGTTCATAAAATCATAACTAAGATAGTTTCCTCCAGGATATTGCAGGGTATTAACCCCAGGGTATGGATGAACAATTTGGGGTCGATGAAACTGCTCTATTGCATACTTCATTTTTTACCCAAGTGCAAATGGTTTTGCACCCTGAATGTGGCTATACCGTAGAGGAAGTGGGAGTGGCGAGTGAGAGGGATTGAGAGAGAGAGAGAGAGAGAGAGAGAGAAAGAGAGAGAGAGAGAGAGTCATGATATTTGGGAGAGACTGAATGGAATGAGATAGAGGAAGAGAATAAAAAGGGTCAGAGGGCAGGAAGCATCCTGGAAGAAACTGATATTTGTTAAATTATGTTTAACGAGTGAATACTGCAGATATTTGCTGGTTGTTTTCATCATCGGTGCCAAAATGAACCCTACAATGAATTTTTTAAAAAACATATGACATCCTATACAGGTGATTTAGGTATTTTATAACCCATTCCCCTGAGAGAAGGCAGAATAATCACAACATGAATGGAAGTAAGAAAATCGAGTAAAATAAGGACATTGTTATGCCTTGAAAATAAAATATCAGTGGAAAGTACATACATAAAGCCGTTGGAAAGATTCCAAGTAAAAAATAAAAAAACTCAGATCATCCCTATGTATAATGCGAATAAAATCGTTTACATGGTGATGGTTTAGCCTAGCTTATAAACACATCTCCCTGATTTCACACTGCCATATAACTATAATGATGTGCAATCTCAGCTTATAGGCGAGAATCTGATTGATTTCATATATCGTGCGTTGGAAGCCGCTGCGTCAATGTGAATAAAACCTGTCTAGCTCTCACTCACCAAAGGATTATGACGAGGCAATATGAATAAATTATGAGTCATGTCATTAATAGGCCTGCATTGAGATATGATATTGAACATGATGATGGTAAATGAGAAGGACTATCATGCTCATATAGAAACGCAAATCGTCCATCCATATTCGTGCAATACAAATTAATCAAACAGCGAACTCTAACCAGGGAGGTGAGACATAATAATTGTCTCACCCACTGCTAAGAAACCTCATGAAACTGCCATTAATGAGAACCTTTTACCGTCTTTTTCTTTCAGAGTGGGTCTTTTGATAGAGAGGGCTTGTGTTTAAAATGGGTTCCCCGTTTGAATAAGTATGGCGCTATGAAAACACATCTTCAATCTGTTAAATAATATGAAGCGGAAGGTGATGAGTAATTCAATACCTGTGTATGGCCTCAACCCTTTGACTTGGGTTGGAAAGACGACCTGACTGTGATAGAGGCATACTACGATGTTGGGTACTCAGTGGTGCTGATGTGTGGGGTATAACACAAAGATGTCTGCCATTCATATATTGCATTATTCTCTCATTGTAGGAACATGCTTTGTCTCTCACTATGCTGTAGCACAGAATAATACAGTCGGGCAAGGTAAGTGTATATTCAATTTCATATTGTGCGGTTAGTCAGTGCAATGCTAAGTATAGGCGCATGTACGTGCCCCGTTTTCGATGTATAGCTGCATCTATATGCACGAATCTGGCAGTATAGACGGATGTCGCATGTACTGTGTACCATGGGGAAATCTGTCACTTCCACGAACGTGCAGTACTGGTATAGTCTCCTCTGTGTTTAGTACCCCAGTCAAGAGTAGCCGCTTGCTTCAGTTAGCTCCCGGTTGATTGTCGATCATATATCCACTGAAATGTAAATATTTAAATCAAGAGACACCAAGGAATGTATGTAGGATAAATGCCTATCTGCATCCACAGTGATATTATAAAATGGGTGCCCTCAATTTGTTATTTATTCAACATTTTGATCATAAAATGCAGTAATTGTAAAAATATCATTGCACGTATAACGCGCTAAAAATTAGAGATATTTCTGCAAAGCGCTTTAGGACATCGTAGATGTATGCATGGAGCACTATAAACCCAGAATATGATTTAGGTATATGCATGCCTTAGCCTTATTGCAGGCATAATATACGATCTGATTATCGCAGGATGTATTAGTTTCCTTTTCCAGCTAGGCATTGTTCTAGAGCTTATCATCTGGATGCAGTTTGACTATATTATATCCGATTGGTATACAACATGTATGCGTGTGTTGATAAAGGGAAATCCAACCTTTGAAATAAGTCCATTTGTATATGAAAGAAGAAAAATAAGAGAAACAAAATGGCGCAAGTTTGAAATAAATCGGACCAGAAATAAGATAATTCAGTGTAAACCTTGAGATAACTATACATTCATGCGATCGTCAAATTGGTAAGATCGTCTGTAGATTGAATTGTTCACGTTGTCATTTACAACCGTTTAATTGTCACTTGGACAAAACTATCTTTCATTGCTATTTTCTCCCCTAAGTGCTTTCTCCCTTGGGGCACTACCCAAGATAAAGATATTATTAGAGGTCTTCTTAAAAAGAAATTCATACGAAACAGAATTTTAAACTAGATGTTTCAGTCATTTTGTTGGTTGAAACAAACGGGAAAGTTGTCCGGCACTACGTCACATAGACAGTATCGATTCAGCCAAGTGTCTAATTGTATAATTATAACAACTTTCCCCAAATCATAGCTTTTTTTTTTGCAAGCCATCATTTAGAACAGTTCAATTCAAATAGTGACATACATAGAACTGCTTACAGAAATCATATGTTTGAGATGCAGGGGTAATAAGTTGGCTGCCGCTTTGCATTGTTGCCTCTGGTTGCACAACAGCCAATCATTATGCAACACCATAACCATCATAATGCAGGTCAATGGTATATGTACCACTCTGACATTACTATCCCAATCAAGATGGCAAATCTCAGGGGGAAATGGTTTAAAAGAAACTGCAAACTTTGGAGAGATTGCTTCCCTTGCTCAGTAATCAATAAAGAATAATTTCAAGATTCTTTTTTAACTGGCTGACAATTCTTAATAAGATTTATTTTGACGAGTGGATGAATTGACCGTGGCGCAATTTCAGCCTGTAGAATCCCAACCCTCCTATCCTTATCTTGTATCGTTGTTGTTCTTTGCTCTTATCATTATCATCATTTGTATTATTAGTATTATTATTATCATCTTATTCATTCATTTATTGTTTGTTTATTATTATTATCATATATCACCATCAGTATCACCGTCATCATACCCATCGTCGTTGATTCGTTTCTGGTTTTCACATCTACGAATTAATAACACTATGATAATTAGATTAGCCCTCACTGCAGGCCCTTGATATATATTCAGCTCATGGATGCTATGAACGCGTGTAAGTAAAGTGCGCAAAGCAATAAGCGTGTAGAGTCTTTATCGATCCCTGTCTGTGTGCCTGCATGCTATTCATCATGACAATATTGAAACTGCGGAAGGAGGGCAGTTCCCCCCTCTCACATGAAGCATGAAGTCTAGGTATAATCCCCCAGTTATGGAAGCGGTCAATAATTATCCCTATCCCAAAAGGTAAACAAACGAAAGAAATGAATGATTTCAGACCCATATCCCTTACATGTAGCATAATGAAATGTTTAGAGAAGATTGTGTTGAAACACCTCATGAGGCAAGTTGGGGATCAGATAGATGTGTTGCAGTTTGCTTATAGGGAAGGTAAAGGTGTAGACGATGCAATTTTGACATTTCTCCGTAATATATATAATCACATGGACCACGTTGGTAATTCTGTAAGATGTTTGTTTGTCGATTTCTCAAGTGCATTCAACACAATTGTACCGCACATACTGATTAAGAAACTAATTGAGATAAAAGCACACCCTATCCTCATTCTATGGATACAGGATTTCCTAAATGAAAGTGAACAATATGTTCACTTGAGAAATGTAAACGCTAAAGTGAAATTCATCAGCATAGGAGCCCCTCAGGGCTGTGTCCTCTCTCCAGTATTATTTTCTATTTATACCAGTAATTGTATAAGCACATCACCAAAATGTCAAATGATTAAGTATGCAGATGATACTGTAATCTCAGGTTTTATGTCAGACACCAGAAGTGAACAAGATTATGCCACCTGTGTAAACAGATTTGTAACGTCTCGAAGACAAAGGAAATGATTATAGATTTTAGGAGAAGTCCACAAGCAAGACCACCGTTTATTATTCAGGGGTCGGCTGTGGAAAGAGTTGACAGTTATAAGTACTTGGGAACAACGGTATCTGATTCACTCGACTGGTCATCAAAATGTTACCTTGCTTAGAAAAAAGTGCAATCAGAGAATGTACTTCTTGAGAATGATGAGAAAGATGCATGTAGACAAAACAATTCTGACTCTATTCTACAGATCATTGATAGAGAGTGTAGCTACATACAACATAATATGCTATTTTGGGAATGCAACTCAAAAAGATAAGAAGAAGTTAGACGGTACGAGGAGAGTAGCACAACGGATAATTGGCAGTAGCCTACACGCAGTATCCACACTGTATGAAGAAAGAGTAGTTGCTAAAGTCAAACGAATCATGAACGACCCCACCCACCCGCTTCACACTAATTACAATTACAATAGGACAGGCTTTCGTCTGTGTGTGCCCAGGTCTGCACGAGTGAGAACTCGGCAATCATTCATAGCAAACTCCATCCATATGTACAACGGAATGTCTCGAAGACCCAGTGTTGTACTTTAATATCATATTTAATCTAATTAATAATTCCCAAATTGGTTTAAGACGAAAATACATGTATGGGTAGATTGGATACCAAACCGCCTCAGTATATCAGTATATTTATATTTACCTCACCTGTTAATTCGTTTGATCACCTGACACCTCCTCTTGCTCTGCTTCATTTACTATATGTTAACTATTGTTCTGAATTAGTGTTTATAAAACAACATTCGATCCTCTGTTAATCTGTGCTTAATCATATGTTAAACCTTGTTTATTCACTGTTAATGTCTACATTTTTGTAAATTTATTAGTAAATGTTAATCTGTATATGTTACACCAGTTAAAATCAAATATCCAGAAATGGACAATAAATACTAAATTGAATTGAATTGAATTGAAAGCTGTATCATCAATTTCAATCGTAAACGAAAATTTGTACTTGTCGATAATATTCTTATTTTGATATTCCCTTTCATATATCTTTAATATGAATTTAATGTATAGTTCATTTTTTAAATCTTATATCAAAGCAATCAAGCGGAGTGCGCACAAAATTAGGGGATGAACCAGTATTTTAAGCGTCAGGAATAATCCGTTGAATCAAGAGAAAGGAGTATACTCCTGCCCCATCCCATCCCCCCCCCCTCCCCGAGGAAAAAAAAGGGTGGTGGGGGGCTCTGCATACTTTTTTTCTGCATAAAACCTTTACATTTTAATGTGTGAAATTAGATATCTCATTAGCTAGAAAATGTTCACGTTTTGTAGTTTGGAACCTGCATTTAAGCACGCCTTTATAAGTTTTTATTGTAAGTCTGAGTTTACTATCGACCTCCTTTTTTCTTTTTTTCCTAGTAGTAAAGTAGTAGTAATGACCCTAAAGCCTCACTATATAGCTCTTGTAAACACACAATGGAATATCTGCCTATTTACGATTGTGTATCCCACAGTTGACAGATCATCTTTAATTTAAATTTAAAGTATATTATGCGAGGGACAATAGTGATCAATCGAGGATAGTTTTGATATTTGAATAGTTGGAGCATCATAGAGCTGAAATATAGTGTGGTCTATAGCCTTAAATTATAATTTTCTATGCACTTATATTTTGTAGAACCCCCCCCCCTCCCCGTGATTGCCACCCCTGCTGGCATTTTATTATAGTACAATGTTGAAACAAAATTATGATATTTTAAAAGCCTATGCTTAAAAGGGCTAGTTAGCGTAAGAGAGGAAGGCCTACTCAAGGTGAAATAAATCTTGGTTTACTTTATATATATTTCAAAAGAAAATAATTAGAGGTGCTGACCGCTCCACCACCCACCTCCTTGGTTACATTCTCTATCCTACTAAAACTTTGATAAAAGGTGAGAAGAACTTATACATTCGCTCTTTCAGAATTATGAAGTAAGAATTGTATACTTTGTTGAGGTAAGGCGAAACAGATCTAGACAGGGAGTGAGATGCAGCTTCTGTACCGTACAAATGAAAGAGTATATGGTGTAATAAAAGTGATTACATTTCTTTTTTAATGATTAGAAGTGTTGTGGTCTGCATGTGGAGACTGATCCAGAAGGTTCGGGATTCAAATCCCCTTGACTTTCTAAGACTGTTTCGCACGATTGTTCACATAATAAGATCGTTGTTGTTTCTATTCACTTTGATGTAGCCCCGTGGTCTGTTCGTCTGATGGGTGGTATCTATGAATCTGAAGGGCGGGTTGAAGTTTTCTATGACAACCAATGGGGTTCTATATGTGACAGCCTGTGGAGCATCGAGGACGCCAATGTTGTCTGTCGGCAGCTGAATTACAGTGGAGCAGACCTAGCATTGGTGGCGGGTCAGTACGACGAAGGTCAAGGTGTCGTCCTGTTTAGTAACATGGAATGTAATGGAATGGAGAGCAATCTTTCAACTTGTAAATATGATCTTGTGGATGTTACACATTGCGACCATTCGAGAGATGCTGGTGCCGTGTGCACGAGTCAGGGTAAGGTTCAATAAGGTTTATAAAACAGTAATATTGAAATACAAAGATGAACAAGAGTGTCGTACAGAAAGATGAAAACAATTCCCTCGTTTTCTTTCTTTTTTTGAGTAATCTTTTGCCTCCTATTTTGTCGATACAGCTTTGGCACCGAAGGGTTAGAATTGTCAATACTCCCAGAAAGGGAACTATTTGCACAAAATAATGTTAACATGTCTGGACTTTGGAGAGGCAGAGTTTGGAGAGCCAAGAAAGAAACTCCATAATTATGCAATATGGTCAAGGCTCGACCTGACACAAGATGGAATTCCTTGACTTGATGCACCTGGTGAATGTCAGAAGACAATCTTGAACAGTATGGCACTGGTTCTACGTTGTCGTAATTATGTACTGGTCATGTTCTGTATTAAAGATCCATTTGTGGAGGTTGTGCCTCTAAATCATGAGAAATTGTATGATGTAAAACAAATATAACTCTTTGCAATATATTTCATTATGGGATACAATCATTCAGTATATATATATATATATATTTTTTTCTTTCTAATTGAATATACATCTACAGGAAGTCTTCGCCTAGCCGGTGGGTCTGTACCTGGAGAGGGTCGCGTGGAGATTCTGGGAGAATCTGGAGACTGGGGTACAATATGTGATGATGGATGGGATAAGACCGACGCAGGAGTAGCATGTAGACAGCTAGGATACCCAGATGCTTTAGAAGCCATAGTCAACGTAGGTTATCCCAACACACAGCCAGTCTTTGGTTCGGGATCTGGTCCTATTCTTCTTGATGGACTCCATTGTGAAAGTGAAAAGCGACATTTAAGAGATTGCCGGGTCACAAAACAATGGGGAATTCACGACTGTACTCATGGCGAGGATGCAGGAATAAAATGCGACATGGGACGTAAGTTCCTCCTACATTAAAACATCGTCTATTTCTATTTTCAAGATTAAAATCATATGAAAAATAACATATCCCAATGAAGTTACAGATCCTGTCTATTTCATTTAATTTACAAAGAAAGTAACATCTCTTTTTAATTTTTTTTGAAGCATTGATCACTTTGGCCAAATTCAGTACCTCTACTAACATATGGTTTTTAGCACACGAGTGGTTCATCGGGAGATGTTTGCTCTAAACCTTTTGTTGCTCAGCCAATACAACGTGATATTTTGATCATCATCGAAACAAATGCTAACAAATGCGTCCATTAAAAGTATGGAAAAAGTATTTGTTGTTTCTATTTGTCCCTGACATTCTCATCACAACTTCCATTGTACTTGAATTCTCCTACTTTCCGATGAAAACAGTATTGATTAGATTTGTAAACACATTGTATACTTTTGTGAGAAGAAATTGCGATTGACTTTCAATTCAGTTTGATTCAAGGATATCATGCCAATAGTCTTTCAGAGGAATTCGAGGGTTAATACCTTATAATGAGAACACTAGCATATATTTCATCTAGAGATCTATTACCTTGTAACGTACACTGACGCATCAAAGAAATATTGCCATGAAAACACGAGGTCTGTTCAAATAAATTGTATGTACCATCCGACTGTTTTACAAGACAGCTCTTTTCTTTTGTCTCATCTTGAATTACAGTTACCCGACTTGTAGACGGCGATTTTGACGATGAAGGCCGCGTTGAAGTTTACTATGGGGGTAAATGGGGAAAAATCTGTTCTACCAATTGGACCATTGATGATGCCCATGTTGCATGTAGAGAACTTGGATTCCCTCTCGGAGCAAGGAACACGAAAATATTTGAGGGAGGCGATGGACCTTTTCTACTGGACGACATGAAATGTCAAGGAGTTGAGACCCATTTAGCCGATTGTGAATCTTTAGGATGGGCCAACAACCAAAACTGTGATGCCAACCTTAACTATGGTGCAGGCGTTGTGTGTAATGGTAGGTCAATTAATATGACATTTTTTATGCTAAAGACTACTTAACATCTGAGTCCTATGTTAAACGACCTTTTCTATTTATATTTGTATGTCATAATACAGATCCTTCGGCCGTTGTGAGACTCCTAAGTGGATCAAGCAGCTATGAAGGTGTAGTTCAATACCAAAATAGATCTGAACTTGGTTTGATATGTGATCCTGATTGGAGTGATAAAGAAGCAGATGTGACCTGTCGACAGCTAGGATACCAGTACGGAAGAAGTGAAAAGCCAGTTTCACTTGGACCATTATCTGGAACCATCTTTTACTTGGACTATCACTGTAACGGAACTGAAGAGCAGATAGGAGATTGTGTGTATACAGTAAAGTCGAATGATGTCCAATGTAACCCTGATCACATCGCACAAGTTTTCTGTGGACCACCGATAGGTGAGAATCTTGCATGACTGTGCTAAACCAATACGTCTTATCAAAACTCAGTCCTTTATCAAATCCTACTGCTACAAGGTCGAGCGTACTAATACTGACTTGACAGTCTTTCCCAATCAGTTCTATTTTTGTATATCTTTGTGAGTTATGTGCTAAACCAGTGTCTGTCTCTAAATGATCTATGCAATTCATTATCAGGCGATCTCTCGTGCCTTAATGTGGTCCAATAAGAGCAGTCGTGAAATTATTTCACTTTGGCATCTCAGGAAGAGCCAGTTTTCTCTAAATCTGGCTGATATTGATGTTGGATCCCTATATAAATCTGTTTTTTGTCATTTAGGATGACTCGTGCTTAGGAATGGTTTTAGTAGACATGCCGTATCCAATTGTATTTGTCCAAGTTTCTGGTTTCCTTTGGAGCCCCAGAGAATCTGACTTTCAACTCCCCACTGAGATCGGATTTCCATGTCTGAAAGCTTATTCAGTGCTTCCAAGGATTGATTTTCTTTCTCATATTGACCGATCAATACAAAAATGAAAGGTTTTCACCTCCTTCCGTATCTGAATTATTTACTGTATACTCTATGTTGAAATAATTGTTACATATATCATGTATATATACATTGTGATTTATATTGTGCTGTTGAGAAGGAAATAAATGTTAATAAATACAATACAATAATACTTCAACTTAGTCCTATATAGGTGTAAACTAAACTTATCTTACCGACCGTCATCGAGGTTCTACATCATAAATTCTTACTACGTAGGCCTCCTCCTAGAGACTCTACTCTTTACTACGAAGCTTTTTCGACATCTTAATTTATTGCACAAACTATTATTGGCAAAATTGAAGAGCATACAGTTATATGCCACCACAGATGAAATTCATGTTTTGCTGACATGCAGTCCGTAAGCTAGAAGTCTTGAGCTCGAATCTATAGGAAACAATAAATATTGGACTACAACAGCTGGATTTCAACTAAACTTAGCTATATGGGTATTCTACAACACCCACCATTTCGAGATGATGCAGTTATTTATAAACAAAAAGAGGCTCGTCACTTTACCGACCCCGCCAGCTATCTGTTCACTGAATCTCTGTACATAAAGAAGTAGCTTAAGCCCCCATCATACCAAACTAGTTCTCACTACGTTCTCGAAAATGTTGCCAAACGGCCTCAAACTGTGTGCGAACGGAGTTGAACGTAATAGCAACTGTTTGCGACCTGTTTAAGGACTTTATGGACGGGCTCGGACTGGACTCAGGTCTCTAAAACGATCCTAGTTCGTTCATTAACAGTCTACAATACGTCCAATTCGTCTGTACCTGTCCACAGTCAGTTCATATCAAGTTCAGATCGGATAAATTTGGTATTTTCAAGCAGTCCAAACCATTTTTACTAGTTCGGAACTTGTTCTAACTAGTTTATAACCCAACTACCCCGTTTAGAGACAGTTCAACTCGTCCTCATCTTGTTTTTCGTGCGTTTCGAACGCGCTTCTATCGTGCTTTGCAATCCCGTCCTGGTTCGAGGGCCTTACAAACCCAGCGCGTTCTTCCTCATTGATGCTCGACCACATCACGTGGTTACACGTTCCTAGTAGGATCGAAGTACGGCAATTCCGTTCATAGTATGGCAATTCCGTTTGTAGTACGTCCATCTCGTTTTAAGTACGTTGTCACTCCGTCCAATTGCAGGACGGGGATAATTTTGAACAGGCTCAAAGTTCACCCTTCCCGTCCATGCCAGTCCGAGCCCGTCCATGAAGTCCTTAAAAATATCGTATATAGTTGCTAATACGTTCACTCCGTTCACACACAGTTTGAGCCCGTTTGGCAACATTTTCCAGAATGTAGTGAGAATTAGTTTGGTGTGATAGGTGCTTGACTTGAACGTCTTGATCTGCAAAGCCAAAAGCGTTACAGTTGAAGGGGAATGAGAAATGGCAAGAACGCTCTGGGCTTTTATAACTCCCGAGTCAGGACGGGATTGCACACGCTCTAGGAGCGCGTTCGAACGCACTCAGAACGAGATGAGGAAGAGTTGAACTGGCTCTGAACGGAGTGGTCGGGTTAAAAAAAAAACTAGTTAGAACAAGTGGCGAACTAGTTAGAATGGGTTTGGACGTATTGGGAACGAGGTAGAACTAGTTAATAATGGGTTTAAACTAAATACGGACTGACTTGAACTGCCTAATCTACCCGATCTGAACTTAATATGAACTGGCTGTGGACGGGGAACAAACGAGATGGACGTATTGAGGACTGTATACGAACGAACTAGGATCGTATTATAGACATTTTTTTACACATTCTGCCCCGACCACAACCCGTTTTGCGATTTTCTAGGACGGTTCCAGAACGTAGTGAGAACTAGTTTGGGTGATGGGGGCTTTAATGACACTGATCTGGCGGACCCGATTAACCGAGACGGTATTTGCCTTAATAGCCCCCAACACACCGAGCTAGTTCTCACTACGTTCTGGAACCGTCCTAGAAAATTGTGAAACGGGTTGTGATCGGGGCCGAATGTGTAAATAATGTTTACAATACCATCCTAGCTCGTTCATAAACAGTCCTCAATACTTCCATTTCGTCAGTTCATATCAAGTTCAGATCGGGTAAATTTGCCATTCCCAAGCAATCCAAGCCAGTTCGTAGTCAGTTTTAACCCATTATTAACTAGTTCTACCTCGTTTCCAATACGTCCTAACCCATTCTAACTGGTTTGCCACTTGTTCTAACTAGTTTTTAACCCGACCACCCCGTTCAGAGACAGTTCTACTCGTCCAGTCATCTCGTTCTTAGTACGTTCGAACGCGCTCCAATAGCGTGTGCAATCCCGTCCTGGCTCGGGAGCTATATAAACCCAGCGCGTTCTCGCCATTCCTCATTCCCGTTCAACGTCAACGCTTCGTGCTTTACAAATCAAGACATTCAAGTGAAGCCCCCATCACACCAAAGTCGTTCTCACTACGTTTTCGAAAATGTTGCCAAACGGGCTCAAACTGTGTGCGAACGGAGTGAACGTAGTAGCAACTATTTACGATCTTTTTTTAAAGAACTTCATGGACGAGCCCCGGCCCCCCCACTCAGTGTTATTTAGGGTACGCATATGCTCGTACCCTCTTTTTGAAAGCACCCCCTATCTGAGGACTGCCAACATTTCCGAACCCCTCTTTCGCGGGCTTTTCGCGGGCTTTTTATGCCTTGGAGACCATCCTAAATCAGGAAAAATGCTCAATGTACCCCCCTAAATTCGGAATAATTTCTCAGGAGTCCAAAGAGATGAGAGAAAAAAAGAAAAACACCCCCTTTTTAAAGAAATATCCGGGTGAAAAGTCAAATACACCCCTTTTTTTACAATTATTGGGCCGGACTTTGTCGCACGAAAAGTACCCCTTTACCGGACATTTTGGCAACACGCATGTGGTCATTCCGACCTCTGAGTGGGGGGGGGGGGGGGGGGCTCGGACTGGCTTGGACGCCAAGGGTGCTCTAGAACTTTCAGCCTGTTCAAAATTTTCCCCGTCCTGTAACTAGACGGAGTGACATCGTACTTAAAACGAGATGGACGTAGTACAAACGGAATTGCCGTACTTCGATCATACTAGGAACGTGTTACTAACCAGTTAGTATGATTTGGAGGTATTGTAAACGAGTTAGAACGAGTTAAGAACTGGTTTAAATTGATTACGGACGGGCTTGGACTGCTTTGAAATCGCAAATTAACCCGAGCTGAACTTAATGTGAACTGACAATGGACGGGGTGCAGACGAGATGGACGTATTGAAGACTTTATTTTCACATTCTGCCCCGACAATTGCCCGTTTTTACGACTTTCTAGGACGGTTCCGGAACGTAGTGAGAACTTGTGTGATGGGGGCCTAGCTGCTGCTAATTGATGCTCGACCACAGCACGTTGTACCACGTTCCTAGTAGGGTCGAAGTACGGCAATTCCGTTCATAGTACGGCAATCCTTCCTTATGTAGAACGTCCTCCTCGTTTTAAGTACATTGTCACTCCGTTTTATTGCTGGACAGGGAAAATTTTAAACAGGCTCAAAGTTCTAGAGCACTCTCCCATTTAGTCAGTCTGAGCCCGTCAATGAAGTTCTTAAACAGATCGTAAACAGGTGCTATTAGGTTCAACTCCGTTTGCACACAGTTTGAGCCCGTTTAGCAACATTTTCCAGAACGTATTGAGAACTAGTTCGGTGTAATGGTGGCTTTATCATCAATTCTTCTCATCAGGTCGGCGTTATATCATTAATTTTGATTGTCCTCTCGTTGAGATCTCTTAGCCATGCATTGACTTTCTGAGGACAGACCTTAATGATAATTTTTGACAGCCAAAAATGTTACACCCTCGATGTGGCGTCAGGTCAGAAGAAAGCCTGTGCCCATCGACAGACAGAATCACAAATTTATCGGTCTAATGTGACCACTGTTATAGTTATCGTTACATTTAGTTTATCTTATTTCGATGAGGTCTGACAACTCGTGCGATACTTCTACATTTCAGCCCCAAATTTTATGTGGTACTTTTGCTTAAAATATGGCTTATGTGATGATCTTAACCCTTACTCTACAAGACCAAAAAGAAGAACTAGTTTCAAGGGAAAAATTAAGACATGGAGTGGATTGACACTGCAAGAGTGTACTAGGATGGCAGAAACAGAGATGTGAGGAAAAATGCTGTGATCATCCTCGGACTAGGAGAATTATAATGATACAAACGTATAAAGATACAAACGAATATCACTAGAGATATTATTTCCGATAGAATATTCTAATTTGATGATTTGATACTAATTCTTACTTCTTTCGTTCTATGTGTTTATAATTATTTCGATTTAGACTTTGACCTACGAATGGTTGGGAGTGATTTCACTGAGCAAGGTCGTCTTGAAGTCTTTCTTAAAGGCGAGTGGGGGTACGTAGCTGCAGGATACTATTCCTCTATAGACCGTGATACAGTCTGTCGCCATCTTGGATATGCAGGTGCCTTTTACACCTACACGACTGAATTTGCTCGTTCTTCTCGTCCAATTCTTATAGACGATATATCATGTGGTGACAATGATATGAAGATAACTGATTGCTACATACTAGAGTTGAGCGGACCTCATTCAACCCAACAGGAGCGTGATGAAGTCAGTGCACTCTGTTTTCCATACGGTAAATATTCTTTGATTATCCAGTGTACTACTAGTATTGTTGTATTTGTTCTCATTTCATTAAATATTTTATATATATTGCATTTCATATTATTATATTTGAATGTTATATTGTTGTTTAAAAAAGTTGAATGTGAAATAAAGTTAACTGAATCGAACTATGTTAATAATACAAATATTGTTCAAGAAGTTATACGTATATCAAGCAAAATTTGTTTCATGACAAAGATACTATATTGAACGGCCTTTAGTGTGATACAATGATGTATCTCACGAGCGGATTACCATATTTCAAGAGTCGCTTATTGTTCCTATTCTTTTCTTGCTTAAATCATTTATTGTCTGCGAATTTCACACTTTTCTTCGACAACAACTAAATTATTTATACCCCCTTGGAAAGTGTTATGTTGTTAGTGTCTTGTCGTAACTCAAGAATGAAAGGTAGACTGTTCGAATTAGGGCCTTTGCTGATTACTTTTAGATGTAAGCTTCATTTTCTCATCGGAATTCTCAAGAAATGTAAATCGGGACTAATCAATGTTTCACATACTTACAAAACAAAACAAAAAATTACAAAAACAAAACAACAAATTACAAAACTTCTAAAGGTATGAATGATTTAGTTATTAACTGTATATAACTATAAACTATTGTAATTTACAATTTTACAAATTTTGAATGCCCAAATCAACACCTCCCTGGTGAATTCATGTTTTCATTTTCATTTTTTGTTCTTATGTAAAGGTACACGATTCCTTTGTCGTGATGTAAAGAATTCCCTAATATTTTGAAGCGCCTTGAGCATTTAATTAGAATGGATAATGGCGCTATATAAATGTCATGTACTATTATTATTACTAAAATACACAGGTTTTGTGTGAGTTCTACCAAAGCCTATACTGTACAGCATACACAGAATATTCTGAAATGATATACACTGTCGCTCATATAGATGGAATATTTTTGATTTACCCCAATTTATGGAATTATTTTAAAAATAATTAAAAATAATAGATCTAGATAATAGTATACATTCTCAGATTTTATCGAATAATAATTTGCCAATGTGTGTTTTGCGTGATTGCTTAAGCATGTTTATGCTACTATGCTTATCAACTAGGGGACCTACGCCCTTAAGTCATAAATGACAGTAATGAGGATTAATGCCCCACAAAAGGGCATTAATATAGCACATCGACACGGTTTTGATCCTGGGGCCTCACAGTTACGAGGCCATTGCTTTGTCACTGAACTATGACTGTGTGCCCATGCCTTGAGCCATAATGCATGGCCGTCCATAGGATTTTTTTATGTTGGAGACCGGGGTAAAATGCAATAAATTATTGAAAATTTATTGCATTTTCTGTTTTTTTTTAATTTATTGAAACTGCCCCCTACCCTAGCCCCCGCTGCGTACAGTCATGGTTCAGTGTCAAAGCAATGGCCTCGTAACTGTGAGGCCCCAGGATCAAAACCGTGTCGATGTGCTATATTAGTGCCATTTTGTGGGGCATGTCCTCACTATTCACTAATTATTTTATTTATATTCATGATATAAATTTCCTATTTACCCCCTAAGAATGTTATTTCTTCACTCCAGCATCCTAGTTAGAACGATAGTAATATGTTTGTGTGTGGATGCACTAATATAGAGTAAAAAAAATCAGTTAAATCATGAAAAAAATGTAACTTTTGATAAACTTTTTAGATAAAAATCAATAATTATGAATATGCAATATTAAGAAAATATTATCAATTCTTCAAAGTTCATAAAAGATTTTGTGCAATGTCATGCACGTAATATGATACAAATAATATAACCAGGGCAAATCAAGTTTCGGGGGATAAAAATAGAAATTAATGGGATCAAACTATATAAAGCAATACACCAGTTTACAGTTGTATCAGTGCGCATGCGCAGACTTGGGCGCCATTTTAAATGGTAAAACAAAGCCAATGACTTAGAGGTCATGTATTTATGCGTAAATTAAGATTGCGCCCATGCAAATGATGATGATATCACTGCTACATGTATGATATCATCATTTGCATGGGCGCAATCCTTAATTTATGCATAAATACCACTGACCTCTAGGTCATTGGCTTTGTTTACTCGCCAATTAAAATGGCGCACACAACTGTAAACTGGTGTATTGATAAATAGTGAGGACATGACGTCACAAACTGATAACCAAATTGGCAATTTGTGTAGTGATTTCCATTTTTCTATAGTTTTACATACCTTTTCAAAAATGCATAAACTTTCTTATCAGTTATCCGATTTTGCTCAAACTTTTTTTGATTGGTTTGTCTTGTTTTTTCTGCTTTTATTGAATGTAAGTTATTTGTGGAGTGGACTTGTACTTGAAGGGTCTCCAATTCCCCCACACCTATCCTATGTGTTTTAACTAATACGTGGTAATACACATTTTGCCAGGATACCGCCCTACTAATTGATATATTTGGTAAATTATTTACGATTTTTTTATCTATCCGGACTGGATAGATATTGCGTATTCCCATATACATCTTTCTGTAAACAGTGCTTGTAACTTTACCAAGACTGGGCCAAATTTCTTATCATGTTGATGATTCCAGAACCTTGCAATACACACCAATACTTATCTGCTAGATGATCAAGCTTTTCTGATCGATTACACAACGTTTCTTTCACAATGCAATCGCATGACCAGAACCGGTCTATACCTTCAAGTACTGAAAAGTTATCTAAGTAATGAGAGGGTTTATGTTGAGCCATTCTGTTCATAATTATTTCATATATTTGATTCCACAGAGAGTGTAGCAAACCACCCCGTGAGGTTCAGAGATGAGAACGGAGTGATCAATAGAAATTATGGAGTCATTGAGATATATCATGATGGAATATGGGGTCCAATTTGCGACTCTTTCTTTACCGAACACGAGGTGAGTTTATTGCTTTGGTCAAGGAAATGAGGCTCCTTTTTCTTAATTAAAAATGTAAAATGTGTTTTTTTCGTTCAATACAATGTAATTTTCCAATGAGTTTTGAATTTACCGATTGTAGTTACATTCCAGCTTGATATGTTGTTTCACAATAGAAATTTTAGATTTGGAGGGGAAAGTATTGCTATTATGAAACGACAAAAATAGCCCGCATATCTTTTTTTAATTTGCATTTTTTATATTGTTCACCTTGTATAACATTTTAGTGCAAGTAATGTAAATAATTCCGTAGGTATATTTTCAAACATGAGAGTTCCATAACACCCCCTTCACATACACGGAATTTTCTTATGGATCGCACAATTCATGGATCCTTACGATTTGGCCACTTTTACGACCGATTTAAGAGTTTTTACGAGCTATATACGGTTTATTACGGGTTATTACGAGTTATTACGATGTATATAATTATACGGCAAAATTCAATGATACGGTTTATTACGGGTTATTACGAGTTATTACGATATATATATATATATATACGGCAAAATTCAATGATTAGTACGAGTAGTCACGGATAACTATGAGCAATTTACGGGCATTTTACGACCTGTTTACGTGTTGCTACGATTATTTACGAGTCCTTACGATATTGCAGATTTTACACCTTTCCCCAAATCGTAAACAATATACATAAGAATACATAAAGAATATGTATCTATTTGTATGGTACTTAACTAAACGTTAAATGCTTGTAATAACTCGTAACAATCCGTAAAGCCATCGTAACACGACCCGAATGAAATCGTAAACAACGCTTAAGAACTCGTAATATTCCGTAAATAATCCGTAAACAAATCGTAAACTAACCCTAACTAGTCGTTAAGAATATTGTTACGAGTCACTATTTTATGGATTCTTGTGAGCAGTTGACGGATGTTTAAGTGTTGATACGAGCGGTTTACAATACTTACGGATCGTTAAAAGTTATTTACGGAAAAATTTATCCGTGGACTAAGGGGGTCAATCGTAAGAAGATTTTTGACATGTCAAAAACTTCGCCTCTCCTTCCACGGATCCTTAAGAGTGTCTGCGAGTTGTTGCGAGTTGTTACAAGTTATTTACGGATACCAGCGAGTTAACGGGTGCTTGCGACTGACTACGAGTTGGCGATCCGTAAGGACTCTTAAAGTTGATATTTATTGATTTTAAAAACTAAATTTATTTTCATTATTGCAAAGTTGAAACTTTGATTCGACAAGGTTATCAAAATTCAATGCTTGGAAACATTCGAAGTAATGATTATTATATTACACATAGCACCGGAAGAGCTCTCCGAACGCTGCTGAGATGTGTGAGATCACAGTATGGACATGACTTGCACAAGCAGACGATGCCCCATGACATCTCACACATTTTCAGCGCCTGTGTTTTCATCTTTTCTTGAGTTCTATCTCTTACTTCACTACCGTCAGGCTAAATGTATAATCTATTGCCTCACTCTTAACCCCGCACATGGTTTTATTTTGATGAAAAATGCAGCGATACAAAATAAAGGAATCTGTCGCTTGTAAACAAAATAAGACGCCATTGTATATTCAGCTGCACACACCGGGGTATGTTCGGCTTTTCAAGAGGGAACAAATGCCGTCCTTAATTTCATTCCAGGGGGTTTTCAATTTGAAAGTCTGGTTTCTTTGATTGTTAATTAACCCCTATCCTGTGTATTTACAAGCAAAAGATTTTAGTTATCAGAATCGGGTCATATCCTCTTTTGAATGGTTTGACATGCCATTAAATTTATATTCACTAAACTCATTATAATTTGACAAATAATAGCTTTGCAATTATGTTCATTCTCTATGGGATGTCGTCTGCTTGGGCAGTGTTGGTCCATATAGTGACGTCATTAAAACATCGTTATTTTTCCGGCGAATCTCTGGTATATCCCAGCTGCTATGCAGGTGGTTGTATTTGTATTTTTTATAAATCACCCGATATGTAGTTGACCTATAACTTGTACAATGGCCATCTGTTAGATTACCAGTTTCTAGTCATACATTAGTTGACATATTTGTGATTTTCTTTGAATTTCACCTTTAAGAAAAATCTGTGTATGTAAAGAAGGTATAAAAGATTTTGGATATGCAAAGAAATTTCAATTTTTAATTTGCAAATTTTCATATAATATTTCTGATTCATATAGTTTATTTTATGATAAAGCATATCATTTTATTTCTAACTTAACATTAGATCCTTTGTAGTCAGCTCGGTCATACGGATTTAACGATGGGCGGTACCTTAAGTAACAACGATGGGAAATACACGTCAAATGGTCCAATGTGGTTCCGCTTGTCATATTGTCCCCGATACTCCGGTTCATGGTATCGTTTTGACCATGACAAGATATATGAATGCAGACATGGTCCATGGGGTGAACCTGATCCTGACTCTTGTTCAAGGGATAGCGTGGCTACAGCCAGATGCGTCTATGTGGATCAGACGGATGACTATTATCCAGGTAAGTAGGAATCGTTGATTTGCCCATCGCGACCAGACAAATAATCACAATTACGTTGAGAAGCCGATCAGACATTAGTATACAAAAATGATGCACAGGTTTGAGTGCGTCGGTAGGGATTGTGTGCACAAGGTACCTTTGAATGGTTTGGACCCACGAGGCGCAGCCGAGTTGGTTTTAGACCAAATTCAAAGGTACCGCGTGCACACAATTCCACCGACCCACGAATTTAACCTGTGCATCATCTGTTTTATAAGATGGGGCCCCAAAAATTGTCAAAAATACAAAATTTTGTTATTTTACAGATTTACCGGATGCATGGCAAAATCATGCGTCCAGTAATTTTTTTTACCGGACGCATGATCTTTTTACCGGACGCATGATCTTTTACCGGACGCATGATCTTTTACCGGACGCATGATTTTTAAATTGTCATGAAATTATAAACAAAATGAACAAATTGTCAGTGCACATTAAACTGTAAACTTTTTTTTTTTAAATTAAAAAAAAATAAATTGTAGAATTTTTTTGGGGGGTTAACAGATTATAATTATCAAAAAACACACACAAAAAATAATTATCACCAAAACAAAAATTATCAAAAAAATCATTAAATTTTTTAAATATAATTTGGGTGTAATATTTGATCAGGAAATGTCCTTTCGTAGTCATATAACACATGTTCAACAGAGTGTAAGGTACCAATTACGTAATCTAAGTTTCATAAGAAAGTGTTTATCTAAACCTGCGGTTGAGATCTTAATTCATGCTTTAATTTCTTCTCGGTTAGATTTTGCATATTCATTGTTCTGTAACCTTCCAAAAAAGATGTCACAAAACTGCAACGACTTCAAAATTCTGCAGCCCGCCTATTAACATTCACTAAGATATCTGATTCCATATCACCAATTCTCCGTTCTCTCCATTGGTTGCCAGTTGAAAAAAGGACTATTTTTAAAAATATGTTACTTGTATATCATTCAGTTTACTCTCTTTCTTCCCCTACATACCTGAGCAACTCTGTTTCAAAATACAACCCCACACGCGTATCAGGACAATTACCCCCTGGACAATCACCCCACGAAAAATTACCCCCCGGAAAACTACCCCCCAAGGACAATTACCCCCTGGAAATTTACCCCCCGGAGAATTACCCCCCGAGGACAATTACCCCCCAAGGACAATTACCCCCCGGAAAATTACCCCCGGAGAATTACCCCCCGAGGACAATTACCCCCCAAGGACAATTACCCCCCGGAAAATTACCCCCCGGAAAATTACCCCCGAGGACAACTACCCCCGAGGACAATTACCCCCCCCGAGGACAATTACCCCCCGAGGACAATTACCCCCGAGGACAACTATCCCCGAGGACAATTACCACCCGAGGACAACTACCCCCGAGGACAATTACCCCCCCCCCTCGACACACCATTACCGCGGCCCGAGGAAAATCACACCCAGGGAATTTGTAACACTGTGACGTATAATGCGAGCTCCTCTTCAAATTGCTATTTAGAGAAAATGTCATGAACTTTCATTTTCTTAGTTATTTATGACGGAATAGATTTGTTTCGTACAGGGGTTGTGTATAAATTATATTTATATTCGTAGCTCACATTCAAAGCCCTCGTACCCATCTGCCAAATATTTTTGCTTGACGTACATGTATCCTCCTAGGAAGAGATTTCACCCACCCCTCTCGCTCTGTATTCATTCCACCTTTGTGAAGTTTGACTTAATATGCCACGTGTATTGAATCAAATTCAATTGCCAGAAGACGCATGTATCAAATCGAATTCAATTGCCAGTAGACGCATGTATCAAATCAAAGGACGGAATTTACATTTCTTAGAAATTTAAAAATACATTGCGCGCAGATGAGTACGCGTTAATACAGCTAGTCTCCCCCAAAATGGCCCAACAAAGAAATTAGGATGTAAGATATCATTATTTATGCATCCTCTGTAACTTTTCTAATCAGCTCATCGTATATTTGTCTTTGTATGTATAATGGGCCCTCATCCATGATCTATTCCAAAATTAAGGTTCTCTTCATGTTTATAAATGTAATGTAATATATATATATATATATTTCTATTGTCATGGTGAACTAAAATATGTTTTCTTGTACTGTAATTTATTTTGAAATAAAAATTGCCTTCGAGTTAAATATATGGTATGTACGGTGTCATATTTAAAGAAAATAAGTATCCGCACTTGGGTACATTTATCTCAATGATTTTGTAATTCCAGAGCAGCGTTTTTTCAACTGGGGTGCCGCAAGAGAATGTTAGTTACATGACAATTTTTTTTGGCAAACGTTGATTTTGTGAAAAACAAATATCAGAAACGGGTAGAGTATTTATTTTCATGAGAAAATAAAATGTAAACAAATAATAAAATGTCTTTCTTCCTCGCTCGCTGACAATATTTTGCGAATATATATATTTTATTTCGACATTCCATTGTTACCACACTCATCACAATTATAAACATGATAAATCAAGGCAACGAGAGGCCCGAATATCCTCATATTCGTGTATCAAGGTCATGACCGAATATTTCAATTTATATTCGTGTACATTCGGCGGTGAGGCGCCCGCATACCTTAAATCTGTGCTAGTGTGTTGATTACAACATTATGTTTTACCATTTTGAAAATGTCTTGTCCTTGTTTTTCTTGCTCGTTCACTAAATCAAGAAACAAATGTGCCCATACGTGTGTACATAGCACTTGACGAGTGCCAGAGTGATGCAAAATAAATAGTTTGTGAAGAATTTAAGATTGGGCGAAACTTTTCATTTCTTAAGAGGGCATCGTGTCGAACAAAAAGTTGAAATAACGCAACACAAGAGAAATCCTTCGTAGAAAACAGCAACCACAGTGTTGTTGCATACATTATAGTTAAAGAAAAATGTGTAGTAATGAGGAAGATCACGCGCAAGTATTTGAACGAATGTGGGTTCATGCACGGGATTTTATGGGCTCGTAGCCTTCACAGCATCTCTCAACGTGTCAGATCGTATTTTGCTATTGAATCCTGATTGTCCCCGGGGGGGGGGGGGGGGGGAATTGTCCTCGGGGGCGGGTAATTGTCCTCGTGGGGTAATTCCTCAAGGGGTAGTTTTCCGGGGGATAATTGTCCTTGGGGGGTAATTCCTCAAGGGGTAGTTTTCCGGGGGATAATTGTGCTTGGGGGTAATTGTCTTCGGGGGTTGTTGTCCTCGGGGGGTAATTGTCCTCGGGGGTAGTTGTCCTCGGGGGGTAATTTTTCGGGGGGTAGTTTTCCGGGGGGGTAATTATCCTTGGGGGTAATTGTCCTCGGGGGGGGGGTAATTTTCCGGGGGGTAATTGTCCTTGGGGGGTAATTGTCCTCGGGGGGTAATTTTCCGGGGGGTAATTTTCCGGGGGGTAGTTGTCCTTAGGGGGTTATTGTCCTCGGGGGGTAATTCTCCGGGGGGTAATTCTCCGGGGGGTAATTGTCCTTGGGGGGTAGTTTTCCGGGGGGTAACTTTCCGGGGGTGATTGCCCAGGGGGTAATTGTCCTAGAACCCCCCACACGAAGTCTTCGCTCCTCATCAGACACACTATTAACTTAATACACCCAGAATAAAACATGATTGGGGTCCAAAACTGTGGAATAAGCTTCCTCTAAAATTACGTCAACTGTCATCGACAGAAACATTCAAATTACAACTAAAAACCTATTTGTTTCTTTCGTTGTAATTATTGCAATATTCCTAATTTACTATGTCTAGGAGAATTCCGCATTTGTTTTTCGGTTTATTGTTTTTTCTTTCGTATGCCTGTTGCATGTACTCTTTTCTAAGCGCCATGAGCACCGAAAGGTGGACCTGTGCGCTATACAAGTAGCTACTATTATTATTATTATTATTATTATTTAAAAAAATATATAAAAAAAAGAAAGAAAGGATATCGGTGGTATCGATCGCCGATATCGCGTGCATCCAGTAAAAATAATTACATGGTAATTGACTAATCAGATTGCAGGGATTCTTCTACCCATCTTATAATATGTATTATGTATTGCTGGCATACTTCAACATATAATATTCGTATAACTCTGCTATCAAGCATTATGACGGAAATTAGTCCATACCACTGTTGTTTAATTCATTGTGCTTCATTTAGCAATCAATGTTTGTACGCTGTCACTCGTTCATTCGGGGTCAAATATCGCTGCAATCACTGACGCAGTCTTATGTCAAATTATATCGCGTGTCTAACGGGCATAATGCATACGTTAACAAGACGTCATTTGCTGACGCGTCGTGTCTAACGGGCATTATGCATACGTTTACGAGACGTCATTTGCTGACGCGTCGGGTCTAACGGGCATAAGACATACGTTTACGAGACGTCATTTGCTGACGCGTCGTGTCTAACGGGCATAATGCATATGTTTACGAGACGTCATTTACTGCACATCTTTTCTACTGGGCATAATGTAAGTTACGAGACGTCATTGATTGGGTGTGGTCTTTGACGAGCATATTTGATTTGATTTGATTTATTGATTTCTGCATCTTTTTTTTTCTTTTTTCATCATACATTTTCATGAACATAATATGGTTTGATACAATATTTTAAGTGTATATAATTTTATACAGATAATGAACGAATTTAAACAAATATATTGAATGCATAATTAACATACATTAGATGAAAGAGGGCTACAGAAATAAGCAAAGTAGCTTGACGTGCCCGCAGCCCTCAACTTAGATACAACAACAATAACAAATACAAATAGAAAAGACTGACTTGCAGAGAAGAAAAGGAAAGGGGAGAGAAGGAGCGTTGGTAATAACACAATAAATCTCGTACATCTGCTGATTGAATGCAGGTTCATTCATAAAATGGCTAAACGATGCTAGGTCATGGACGAGTACACATCATTATTGAATATACAGTCACTGTACACACGAACATGAATACAGTGCAATTACACACGACATGATCAATACTTAGACAATAACATAGTTTTAACTGCCTTCTTAAATTAATACAATGTCCTAAGGTTTCTTATTACAATGGGCAGAGAGTTCCAGATGTCTGGGCCGGCGTGTCTTATGGATTTGAGAGCCAATGCGGTTTTAGGATTTCTTAAATGGAATTTTTCAGTTTGCCTTGTAGGGTAGGAGTGGATGGTTTTCAAATTAAACAATGGGGGGGAATATGAAGGTAGTAGACCATTTTGTAAACGAAACATGAAAAGTGCTATTTGTAGAATATAAATATCATCAGCTTTTAGAGTTTTTAGTTTTGAAAACAAGGGATTGGTGTGGTCGCGATAGGAAGAATCAGTACATAATATACGCATTGCTTTCTTTTGTAATAGTATAATGGTGTCAACGTTACTTTTCGAATTTGCCCATATAATGTTACAATATGAAATATATGGCAGTATTAATGAATTATATAACATAAACAAGATATTTGAAGGGACATAATATTTCAATTTACAGAGAATACCAATATTACGTGAAATAGTATTAGAAATATATTGCACATGATTATTCCATCTCAGATTTTCATTGATCAAAACACCAAGGAATTTTGTGCTATCCTTTTTTTCCAATAATTCACCATCCAAAGTAATTTCAATGTTCGGAATATCATTATTTTTTCTGTTCTGAAAGTATATTGTTTTCTTTAAATTAAGAGACAGTTTATTACTTCTAAACCATTTTGATAATTTTGGTAATTCAGCGTTAATATTTCTTAAAAGGATCTGAAAGTCTGAATTGGACCAAAATAAATTGGTGTCATCAGCAAATAAAATATATTGTAGTGCATTTGATGAATTATAAATATCATTTACATATATCAGAAATAACAACGGGCCAAGGATTGACCCTTGTGGCACTCCACACGTTATAGATAATAATTCTGATTCATTTGAATCATAACATACATATTGTTTTCTATTTGTTAAATAATTTTTAAACCATTGTATAGCAACACCCCTCAATCCATAGTATTCCAATTTACGTATAAGTATTGTATGGTCAAGAGTGTCAAATGCCTTGCTCAGATCCATGAATACTCCAATAACATGCTTATGATCAGCTAAGGCATTTGACACTCTATCAAATAATTGTAACAATGCTAACTCCGTTGAATGAAATTTTCTAAAACCATATTGATTTTCATACAATAGTTCATTTTTTGTTAGAAAATCATACAGTCTATTATAAGTCAGTCTTTCTAAGACTTTAGAAATACTTGGTAAGATAGAAACAGGTCGGTAATTTTAAACTAGAGAAGAGTCGTCTTTTATGTATATTGCAATTACTTTTGCTATTTTCAGTGAGTCCGGAAAGACTCCTGTTGTAAGTGATAAATTACAAATGTGTACTAGAGGCGTTGCAATACTTCCTGCTATTTGTTTTAAAAAGTGCGTACTCATCTCATCATGACCACAAGAATAACTTATTTTCAATGAATTGATAATATTCAAGATTTCAAAACAGTTTGTAGGCATAAAGAAAAACGACTTATCACATGGATTTGAAAGGAATTGTAAATAATCTGAACCATTGGAAATTATTTTCGATGCCTGAATAGGGCCTACATATATTGAGAGAGATTTCTTTCTTTCTTTAAATGAATGCAAGGTGAGCAGTGCAAACATTGCGTTTAATTTACTGGTGCCTGCTCTGATTACAGTCACAGGCATAATACGAGGTTACAACCATTGAAGTGAAACATCGGGTACACACGGTATACTACAAACGCTCAAACCTATGTGGCTATGAGTCAAAATAATACACAGATTTGTAACGTTTTACACGGCAGATCACAAGGTCATGTTTCAACCGAATTGTTTTTTGAAATAATTCTTGCAGAAATTTGGTCAATTTCATTTTGGTCCATACTCTAAGGAAGGGAATGTTTTGTTACATGAAGAAATTACAAGCTAAACTCTTATGAAGTGCTTTTGCTTTGCTGTTTCAGATGAAGATGTAAGTTGGCAACCCGGTCTCGGTGGATGGGAGGTTTTTCTCGTCGCCTTTGCTGTGGTTGGACCAATGTGTCTTATCATCGGTTGCTGCTATCGAAGTCGACGTTCTCAAACAATCATAGCGACGGGTACTCCTGCTACTTACACGTCAGCTACCAATGCTACGCATATTGATGGAGTATCCTCAGAATCTACAGACCCTGCTCCACCCTATGTTCCTCCATCCCCGGCTCCTGTCGAGTCTCCTCCTACATATGATTCTGTTACTGCACCAATGACTCCGGCTGATAACACCGATGCCTGTATGACAAATAATGCAGAGAAGTCATGAAATACACTGTTGGTCATTAAGGTGGAATGATTTGTTTTTGTTGCCCCAGTTTGTGGAATGATTGGCAATGTACCAAATGTATTTTGATAGAAATGCCGCTTCATAGTAAAAGATAGTATTGTGAACTAAATTATGTTGATATCGACATTGACTTAAGTACGAATACATGAACCTCTATAAATGACTTTCCAAAGGGTAAAGGGTTGAAAATTGCACATTTAAATATTCGTAGTCTTAGAAATAAGGTGCAGGATTTGCAATTATAGTTGAAACAAAATCCGTACGAAATATTCTGACCTTGTCAAAAACATGGCTAAGTGAAAACATTTGTAATTTATTGTTACATGGTTCGAGGCATGGCCAAACAGAGGATTTTTGTAACGTTGGGGATTGGGGTAAAATGCATTGAATTATTGATAACGTAATTGCATTTAATTTGTTGTCCTTTATTTGTGGGGACAGCCCCCTACGCTAGCTTTGTAACTGTGAGGCCCGAGGATCAAAACCGTGTCAATGTGCTATATTAGGTCCCTTTTGTGAGGCATTAATTCTCATTACTGTCAGTTATTACTTTAGGCGGTAGGTCCCCTAGTTGATAAGCATAGTAGCACACATATGCTTTAGCAGTCACGTAAACAAACACTTGCAATGTATTATTCCAAAACATATGAGAATGTATACTATTATCTAGATCTATTAAGAATAAATCATCGTCAAAATCCACCTTTATGACCAACAGTGTAGTACTTCTGGGAATGTGAGCCCTTTAAAAAAAAAAAAAGCCTGTGTTTCGGTGCGATATTTCCACCAAAAGGCTGAAAGAAGAATAATTTAAAAATTCATTAAAACTATTCATAATCGTTATTCTTGTTTCAGTTACTTCACTTTCACATTATATTTTAGCCAGAAGCTCCTTTTCTCCGAGAACGGCAAATGTTTGACTCCTTACCATCATCCAGCGTGTAACTACAGAAGACCTGGAATGTAACAGTGTTTGGAAATCATGTAGAAAGTATCATGCCACTCGCTTACTTCCATGCAGTTACAACACAAGCAAAGCACAAACTCGGCATCTCCAGTTTCATTTCACCTAGATTGAGATTATGTGAATTGTGTTAATAAAGTGTTGTATCGAGTCTTTTCAGCATGCTATAACTCAATATTACTGACTGTTTCTAGTGCTTCATAGATATTTTTTTATTTAAATGATCTTACATGCAACCTTCAGGATATAGAACAGATGTACGATACATTTATATCGGATATAACCATTGTATACTACAAATGTTTACCCTTAGTACCAAATAAAACTAAACGATTGAAAATCAGAAAGCCTTGGATAAATAAAAGTTCTATACGGTGTATTCAAAAGAAAAATAAACTTTATAAAAAATGTATACATAATAGGTCTTTTGTAAATGAAAATAAATTCAAATGTTATAGGAATAAAGTGAATAATCTGTTAAGAAAGGCAAAAAAACATTACTTTTGTTTAAAATTTGGAAATTCGAAAATTGATATCAAAGGTACATGGAAAACTATCAATACCCTTTTAAATAAATCAAAACCTAAACTACCCACATATATTATGAAGGATGGTAAAATGGTTGAAAATGATCAATCTATTGCAGATGAATTTAATTCGTATTTTATTTCCTCATGTTCTGGGTTTGGTGCAAATAATCGCCTTGCTCAAGTTAATACCATTTCTCACACATTACCTACATGTCCCAACTTCCTCTTCAATATATTTTAAGCCTACATCACAAAATGAATTGATTCAAGTGTGTAAATTATTAAGAAATACAAAACCTTGTGGATATGATAACATAGGTTGCAATAAACTCAAACAAATCATTAATGCTATTGTAAAACCGTTAGTCTACATTTTTAATATATCACTGTCAACTGGTACGTTTCCAAGCAAACTTAAAATTGCTAAGATTATTCCCGTTTTTAAAAAGACGATCGTCATTTTATTAAAAAAAAATTATCGACCAATATCTTTGTTACCTTGTATATCTAAATTATTAAACAAATTTGTTTATAATCGATTGTATAGTTTTCTTTCTAAACATAATATACTTTCTGATTGTCAATTTGGATTTCGACGTAATCATTCCACAACCCATGCTTTAATTGATTTGCAGGATAAAGTGACATTAGCAATGGAAAGAAATATTTTTTGTATTGGAATATTTATGGATGTACCAAAAGCATTTAATATATAGTGGATCATTCAATTCTCTTGTCCAAATTGAGCTTTTATGGTGTACGTGGAAACCCTCTTAATTTTTTAAAAAGTTATTTATGCAATCGTCGTTAATTTACTATGTACAATAATAATGTTTCTGATTTTGCAGACATAACACACAGAGTTCCCCAGGGATCTATACTTGGCCCATTACTTTTTTGATATATATTAATGACTTAAATCAATCTTCTCATACCATGCAGTATATTATGTATGCAGATGACAAAACTCTTATATTTTCACAACCTGATTTAAATAATGTCGAGTATGAGGTCAATAAAGAATTAGACAAGGTATCAACTTGGTTCAAAGCTAATAATTTGATAGTAAATCTTTCTAAAACAAACTTTTGTATATTTCACAATAAGAGTAAAAATGTGTCCAATGTACTAGATAAGGTAACTGTAAGTATTGATACTACACCTATATCAAAATTAAATGTTGTAAATTTCCTTGGAATATCCGTAGATAACAACCTTCGTTGGGATTCCCACATCGATAATGTTATAAGCAAGGTATCACAATCTGATCTGGTGTTTTATATAAATTGAAATTTCATGTACCATTTCCCATTTTATTTACTTTGTACAACTCACTTATATTACCTTATCTTACATATTGTATAAGTATTTGGGGAAATTCGTGTCATGGAAAAATTAATACCCTCTTCAAATTACAGAAGAAGGCTCTACGTATTTGTGCAGGTAGTGATTATTATGCCCATTCTGCTCCTTTATTTCTTAGTTTAAAAACCCTAAATGTTTTTGATTGTTCAAATATCATACTCTACTAATTGGTTTTTATTTTTTTCAAAATATACTTCCAAAAAGAATATCATCCATATTTTCGATCAATAACCAAATTCATTCTCACAATACTCGGCTTTGCAACACATTTCATTTGTAGAAAGTTAAAAGTTCATTCTGTAAAAAATCTGTAAGAAATACTTTGCCAAACATATGGCACACTCTACCTCAAGTCCTCCGCTTATATACTAACAGTTCAATGTTTGCACAAAAAATGAAACTGACCTTTTATTCTGAGTACCGTTAAATTTACCTTTTGCCCCCCCCCCTCCAATTGTAAATCATTTGATACATGTTTTTGTAGTTTTTTGTCTTTATATTGTGTTTATCGCTAATTTTGTGATATCTTTAACTCATATATGCTCAATAATATAAATAATATAAATTATAATATTCGGGGAACTTTTTATACAAAGCCACTGTTTCAGTGATCGATATGAATTCATTTTATTAAGTCGATCAAGTAGATTGATTATATTTATGTTTAGCGCCATCTGGAGGCTACTAAATTCATGTGAAGAAATGGCACCCTTTTTGATATTCAGTGGATGAAATCTGTTGAAATTGGAGGCACCCTTTTTGATATTCAGTGGATGAAATCTGTTGATATTGGAGGCATCCTTGTGTAATATTTCTCATCTGCACAACGAATCTCTTTGATTTGCAAAACACCCGTGTCAGTCACACGATTCGTATAATTATGATGGGCTTATTAAAATGAAACAAATACATGGGCTTGTCGTTCACATGTGTCTAACGTTTGGGCGTGGCTTCTCCGCGCCACGGCTGACCGATCTTCATATTGGTCCGCAGTGGTGCTCTATCTCAGAAATACTCGACGCATGGGTGCGATGGGTCCATTGTTCGACCAGCCTAACTTTCTTTTCAAAACCGCATTACATGTGTAAAGCATTTGAATCTTGAGAGAATTGTATTGTTGTCACTAATCTCAAATTGTCATGACCTTTCGGGGGTCATGCAGCTCCATTTTGTATCATGCAGGAATGTTTAGCTTACCCTCCACTGGCTTGGGGGTCGTAGACAAATTTGTATTAACCTTTGATCTTGATTACTGGGATTGTCAAGAACGAATTCCTCACTCTTTATCAATAATTATCTGTATAGCGTTCAACTGTTTTGGGTCCATCTGTTTTATTGTGGTTGAATGAAATTGCTTTGATGACCGGGAATTCATGTCAAAACCCTCTTTGCCACTTAATAATTGTACTCCGAATTGTCATGCTATCAAACATTATGTCATAGTCTGCTTTAGCATGCATGAATATTTCTCATCTACACAACGAATCTCTTTGATTTGCAAAACACCCGTGTCAGTCACGCGATTCGTATATGATGGGCTTATTAAACTGTAACAAATACATGGGCTTATCGTTCACATGTGTCTAACGTTTGGGCGTGGCTTCTCCGCGCCACGGCTGACCGATCTTCATATTGGTCCGCAGTGGTGCTCTATCTCAGAAATACTCGACGCATTAGTGGGTGCGATGGGTCCATTGTTTGGCCAGCCTAACTTTCTTCTCAAAACTTTATTTATTTATTTGTTTATTTTTATTTTTTGGTTTTGTATGTGACAATTATCATGATGAAAAATTCGATTGTCCAAATGGGTAAAGCATTTGAATCTTGAAAGAATTGTACGGTTGTCACTAATCCTAAATTGTCATGATTGTATTCCTTCCAGGGGACATGCAGTAGAACTTTGTATCATGCAGGAATGTAATCTTTACCCTCAAATGGGCTTGAGACAAGTATTCGTTATCCTTTGATCTTGACGACTGGGATTATCAAAACCGAAGTCCTCACTCTTTATCAATCATTATTATCTGTATTGCATTCAATTGTTTTGAGTCTATCTGTTATATTGTAACTGACGAAACTTTTTCTTTTTTATGATGAGCGGAAATGTCAAAACCCTCTTTGCCATTTAATATTATTGTACTCCGAATTATCATAACAGTTATCAAGTATGTACATACGAGCCTGCCTTAGCATGCATGTATCTTTCTAATCACCTGTGTCAATCAAAAATACATTCGAAATTTCGTGTGCTTATAACCTACCTTAACAAATACATGGACTTATCGCTTACGCGTGTCTGACGTATAAGAACAGGGCGTGGCTTCTCCGCGCCACGGTTGACCGATCTTCACATCGGCCCGCTGTGGCGCTCTATCACAAACATACTCGACGCATAGAGCGATGGGTCCATTGTTTAAGCAGCCTTACTTTCATTTCGAATCTGCATTTATGTTTTGGTGTGTTTTATTGTTTTGTGACCAATAATAATGGAAAATTCGATCACCCAAATACGTAAAACATTTGAATCTTGAAGGAATTGTACTTTTTCACTAATGCTAAATTGTCACGATTGTATACATTCGGGTGTCATGCAGTTCCATTTTGTATCATGCAGGAATGTATATAGCTTAC